TCTACTGCCGAGGTTTGGGCAAAGGGGCCGAAGCGTGGAGCTATCCGCTCCCTCATCTACTGCTTCGGGAAAGCTTGAACGTTAACATCCCCGCTGGAAAGACCGGGCAACAGCAGCAAAGCGCCACTTCACTTTCCGAGTCCAGGAGACGGGATTTGGTGCAATCTTCCACTGACACAAGACTGCGCAGTCGCAGGAAGTGGAGGGAATGCAAGCGAGACTGCCGGACTCCAAGGAGTGCGAGATCGAATCTCAGACACGCTTCGCGTGGGTGGTATTGATCTGCCTTAGGGATCCCTCTTTTCCTTATGTTCGTGTAATTATGAATGCGTCCATCTCGGATTTATGGTTACTGTGTGATCCGAGATTAACGGCCGTGGGGATTCGTTGCGCTGACCACGTGACACCCTCTAGCCGCAAAACTTGGCACTAACTTCGCCGATAAGCGGCGGTCGCTTGGTCGGTATAGTTCGCTTGCGGACTAAAATCACGGAGTTTGTTTTGTATGATCACGCAGAAATACGCAGGCTACAGGACTGTGAGTCACAAGTTACAGAGTGTTTCACGCCTCACCAAACTGGAATTTTTGCAACGACTCATCGGTCCACCACGCCCACGCGTGTCTGGGAGGGCCCGGTAGGGGCACGTCTAGTACTGTAAAATATACTTATAATGGAGCTGGGCCCTTCTTGAGGAGCCGCCAATTCTGTAGCTACTCAAGAATTTCCTAGAATTTTATGGAACACGAAGGTTCATTACCGTGTTCAAAAGAGCCCTCCACTGGTCCCTATCAATCCAATCAACAGTCTGTTGCACCTGCTCACGCTGGTTCGCTCGTGGATTTATTCTTGTCTTCTACCCTGAAGATGGAGGCGATACGTTTCCTCCGAAACTTCGGTTAACACAATATCTTCCCAGAAGACTGCTTTCTTAATAGTCACCGCAGTGACATATTTTACTTGAAGTTTTTAAAGACGGGGTGGCAACAACAGAGGAATAAAGAAGAAAACGCAAAAGGACGGAAAGGGATAAAGGAAAATGCAGTGCAAAGCGATATGTAGAGCAGAACTGGTTACTGCAGTAAGAATGCGGTGTGCACACGAGTTCTCCTAAAAACGACTGACAGCACGAATTTGGGGCGGAAGATATAATTCGGAAGGGACTGAAAGTACGAGTAAATCTTCGTTACCGGATAAATTTGTAAGCTCTTTAGCGATGTTGAAACAAATATACAAAAATAAACACGAAGCGAAATAAACAGAGGCCATGAAGAACAGAAAATGCTACTTGGTCTAGGCCGCGTAGGATTTTGAATATCTCGAATGCTGAGATGGAGGGGGGGGGGGTTGAAATTCCACTCACGGCATGGGTTACAAATAGCGATTTTCTGCCACTGTGGCGTTCTTGTGATGGTCTCGTCCTCCAAGGGTTCTAACAAATATTTATTCATTTTTTTTCTAAGTCACTGCGAATCGTGAAACCTTAAAACACTACACTATCACACCTGCCCATTGTGTGGCACAATGATGCGTACACAAAATTTCACAGTCGCCCAAATACTCACTAAAGTTGCTTCTTTTCATGTGTCTGAAGGTTCAAGCTCGCCAGCTGACACTATCCTTGTTTCCGTCCTGTCCACAGCTGCACATTCTATTTCATAAAATCAATCATCATTCCATCTATAACTTAGCTTTCCAAGTACTCTCTTTCGTTCAGGTATGCAGAAATTCTGTATTTATTTCTCCTATCTCCCCGGGCTTGCTACATGCGCTTCCCAGCTGCTGTTCTCTTGATTACGCCTATCCTGACAATATGAAAAAGCGAAGAAGTAAAAGTAAAGTAAAGCTATCCCTGTACCAGGCCGTGAAGGCCTACCAGGTTGTGAGACGTTGAGGGTCCCACATTATCTAGACAACCGGCTCAAAGATGGCGGTAAGGTTGTCAGCCTTACGCGCCGGCCGCGCTTTACTCCCCAGGAAAACTCCTGGTACTCATTTCTGTTAGAGTCTGAGTCGACCCCAAGCCCATAGTGCGGCTGGAAGGATTAGGTAAATTGAAAAAATCCAATGACCTCATCGGGACTTGAACCCGCGACCTTCCGGCTTGTAGCATAGTGCCTCGACCAAAAACGACAAACAAAACAAAAAAAAACTCCGTGGCCTGTAGTGCGAAAGCAAACTATACCAACCGAGCGACCGCCGCTTGTCGGCGAAGTTAGTGCCAACTTTTGTGGATAGAGGGTGTCGCGTGATCAACGCAACGAATCCCCACGGATGTTAATTTCGGTTTTCTAGACCGGAGCCGCTATTTCCTTGAAATAGCTCTTCAATTATAGTCATTAGGCTGAGTGGACCCCGTTCCAGACCCACTACTTGTCAGAAAATATGTTAGTGCCGTGAATCGAACCCGGACCTCTGGATCTGTAGTCAGGTACTCTGACCACTAGACCACAGAGGCGGTCATGATAAAACGACCGTGCAACAAAAGCCTCATCTCGCAATCTAAGTCTCTGTGCCTAGCACCAACAAAGAATTCCTTCCTTGCTAAGATTTCTTACTAACACACTCCCGCGCAAACAGATGAACTGCGTGCAGCCATGAAAGAAACCTGACGTCAAACGCGGCTTCTGAAGTACAGCGAGGAGACTGCACGTTTCCGACTGTTCAGAACGCACAGGAACTCCGCCAACACGCCAATAACTAACGCCCTTCCCTGATCACATTAGCAACAACACACGCGTCAATGCAATTAATCAGTTATTTAGATGCTGCTGAAACGCTCCACCGGCTCGACTTACTTCATTCATCTGTGATAATAACACGCGACGGATATTGCGTTCTCTGACGAAACCAAATCGCCCTTCTCACTAAATGGGGCAGCCATTTTAACGGCGGACACGGAGTATGCAACGCTGCACTTCCTACGCATCCTGTTGTGTGTTATAACTAGGGTATTGTTGTGTCGATACAATAGTGTCTACTCGTTTTTAAATACAGAATATTGTTGTGTAGACTGCCATACTTCTATACATTATATACCCCATTTCTACGCCGTGCCCCGAACTGGGGGAGGGGGCGGATGAGCATGAACAATGCGCATGAATTCAGCTAAGATAAGATTGCCCCTGCACAAAATGCGAAGTACTTTTGTGCCGAATGATACGAATACCAGCACAGAATACACAATTTGAGGCGGGAGCAGCAATAGTGATGGCTACGGACTTGGAAGGTCGAAGGGAAGGAGTTCGAGTTCCGGTGGGGTCCAGACCGGTCCCAGGGGACACCCGGTCTCGTATCCAATGTGTAACCGGGGTTCTTTCTCCCGGTGTAAAGCGGTCGGGGCGTGAAGCTAAACACTCACCTCCAAATAGTGTCGAGGTCAAGGATTCGCATTCGAGTCACCGCGCTGCATCGCATAAGCACAGGAATTTCAACTGTTCTTTGCCTAGTTTTTGACATATACACGCAGTTTCTGAGACTGATGAAGTTTACTACACCTACAGAGAATTTGGCACCCCTGCATACAGACTCATATACATATATATATATTGCTAAGTAATGACTATCTGCACAACGGCAGTTGCTAGGTAATGGCCGTAAACGGTAACACGCGAATGCTGTTTTCTATGCGGTTCGAGCGATACCCACGTGACACAACAGAACTGCTGGGAACTGTACGGTCAGTGCCTAGGCTATATAACTAAAAGCAGCTACAATTACGAGAGTCTTGGGACGGCTGACAGAAAAGGAGGAGGTTCGTATGAGATGCCCGCGTGACGCAACAATACAACTGCTGGAAGCTGTGTTCTCTGTGCGGTCAGTGCCTAGGCTATATAACTAGAAGCAGCTACAATTACGAGAGTCTTGGGACGGCTGACAGAAAAGGAGGAGGTTCGTATGAGATGCCCGCGTGACGCAACAATACAACTGCTGGAAGCTGTGTTCTCTGTGCGGTCAGTGCCTAGGCTATATAACTAGAAGCAGCTACAATTACGAGAGTCTTGGGACGGCTGACAGAAAAGGAGGAGGTTCGTATGAGACGACCACCAGCCTGGGAGACTTGTGAGTCTGTCGCCGGCGAGCAAGAATGTTAACACGGAAGCTGGGAAGGCTATGGTGTTGGAAGCCGTTACAGGACAACCGAGAGAGATACTGCAGCCTGAGAAGGCTTCGTGCGTGTTGTAGTGTATTGTAGTGTGTGAATTAGCGTTGCCGCTACACTTGCTTGCAGTTACGATCTGTAAGTGTTAAAACAAATCCAATTACCCAATACAAACTCCGTCTATAGTCACTCCGTACATGTGGCAATATAGTTCCACATAACTGTATGCAATGACATAATTTCAATAAATGTTCTTCTAAATCATCAGACTGAAATCCTACAGAACTGATACAGAAGTTACTAAGAAAACTGCAACTAGAAACGCCTCCTTCGTTCCTTTACGACTCTTAACGAAATGGTAGGAACAAGTCTGGGTGAAACGTTGTGTCAAGACTGTGTGAAATATTGTAATCGCGTAAAGAAAAAATTGAATTCTTGTGCACAGAGGGGTTACTGGAGGAATCAAATGACGACGTATATGAAAACAGGAGTTGAAAATGATGACAAGGAGACTCCATTTTAAAATTCTTCAGTTCAGGTTTTCTGACTGAACCTCTGTCTCTATGGTATTTTTCATCATTCCCATGAAGGCTTATGCATCTCTCTGATCTCATGCACCTCAGCTGATGTGCTGTGGAGTACCTCACAAGTTATTGTGCCAAGTTTCACAACCAAGAAAAACTAACGTGTAAAATTATTGTTCTGTATATTTGACCTCATAAATCTCTGGGTATGAGGCAGTGACAAACATTCCAGAGTTTCTTCATGCATATTATATTTACTTGCCAGTATTATTACCAATACTGGATGAAAGCAACTCAAACATTTCCTACCACGTACATATTTCTACAAAGATTTCGCTTCTGAATTGCTTCAGCTATTCAATAACTTCAAATTACCGGACTGGATGACATCAAGAAGTGAGGAGCCAAAGGAAGGAGTTTTCTTGGTCTTCAGGTTGTCAAACACTTCCTTGGTCAAATACTTCTTGAGCAGAGACTTGCTGTCGGAGGCAGCCAACTTGGCGTAGCCAGCTTCCAGCTTCTCCAGCACTGCTGCGTCCACCATAGCGTCCTCACTGCAACAACAGACACAGTTCCCGTTAGCAAAATTCCTTGCATATTCGCTACCTTGTCCAGGTTATTCAATGCCGCTGAAAACAATACAATCGATAACTTGGGGTCGACTGGGTCCTGCGAAAACATTTCAATCTTTATATACTTTATAAAGGGGGTTAGGCGTCATAGCAGTGCTCATTCTTGCGCGAGCAGGCGCCAGCACGAATAAACCGCGCCGTGTGCTCACTCTAGCATTCAGCATTCGAGTTCCAATTCGACTGGCACAGTTATCCCATTGTTACTCTTTCTCGTACGAGTTCGGACTTAAGCAGAGTTTTAACTTTCTTTTTATTGCTAGTGGGGTGGGACTAAGTTCCTTGTACTGCGGCCACTTCTGGCCTATTGTACCAGCCCCAGATGATAGGTGAGGGTGATTGTGGAGAAAACCCGCCCCAGCGCCACTTTGTCCACCATAAATCCCACTTGACCAAACACTGGAATCGAACCCGGGCCGCCGCGGTGGGAAGCCAGCGACTAACCGCTTGAGCTATGGCACGGCCCGGAGTTTTAACTCAGTTGAGACGGAAGCACTGGGCTTGACTTCAGCTGAATGTTCTCCTTTTCAAGTGGAGTTATGTAATACTGTGACATGACAGCTAAAGCCGGAATACTGGAAAATACGTCCATTGCTAAGTAACGGCATAAACACATAATAAGATAGCATAATTAACACGTCTCCTTGGCAAGACATGCATACGCAACAACAGAAGAGCTATTGGAAGCGGCGTTTTCTGTTTGGTCTGCCCTGAGGCTGTATAACCAGAGGCAGCTGAGAATTCTGGTCGTCATACTCAAGGGGCGGTATAAACCGCCAGTCGTAAAGTAATTGTGAATGTGCACTTAGATTTGAAACTCATGTATGCAGTAAATTCAGTCTTGCGCCTGAAGGGTTGGAAACTACGCTATTCCAAAATGGATGTTTAGCGTTCAGATCTCCTGCCAGCAGCGATTTACGTCTAAAGCTTAAGAGCTCAGTCCAGCCGTGGCCTGGGGACTTACACCACTTCACTATTGCCAATCGGTATGCAAACCCCTGTCGCTTCTACTGAAACAAAAAGAGGCAGGTCTACATGGTTATGGGGCATGCCTTTTCAAGACGCGATATAGTCTTAGTGCGTGCTGTAGAGAATTGTGGAGTGCGCGAATTGGTAATAGCGTCATAATGAGCTGTAGTTTCGGGTTTAAGCAGTCCAATAAATCCAATTACCAACCCAAACCCCGTGTCAAGTCATAAAATACATGGTGATATATTAATACATACAAAATATTTTTGAAACATTAACTTATTTTCCACCCACAATTCATGCAACGGTGCATCAGAAGTTTCTATTCACTGACGCCCCCGAGCCGTCTGTTCAGTTTAAACTCGTAGCTATCCCTGTTAACAGACCGTGGAGGCCCATAGGGTTGTGAGACGTCGAGGCTCTAACATTTTCTAGACAATCAGCTCACAGATGGCGCTGAAGTTGTCAGCCTTACGCGCCGGCCGCCCCGAATATTCCTGGTGCTCATTTCTGTTAGAGGCTGAGTCGACCCCAGGGCCATATTGCGGCTGGAAGAGTTAGGTCAACTGAAAAATCCAATGATCTCATCGCGAGTGAATTCAGTAAGGTATACCCTGCAAATTCTGAGCTACTAACAGCAAAAGTATCTAGTGTGAACCCAGAGAAAACAGTTTCCACAAGAGACATAAATTTTTTCTTGCGTTTAGATTTCCCTTCTCCCTACATGTAATTTGGTTTCGTTTGTTTCGCAATAACTGCACACATCTCTCTAATGGAAGAACCTCGATGTAGGTGACAATTTATTACTATCGCTTGTCACTGGCTAAGAAAGAACGTTCTTTTGATCTTCATTCGAAATATCACAGCACATAAGTTACACCAAGACAGATCTTGCAGCACTAATCTGTCGAAAGAGGAATCAAGTAAATAATAATTCAGTTTCTATCCAGCTTTCTAAATTTACTGCAAGACATGTTCTACGCACAGCAGTCTCTTTCAGAATCCTAAACAGTTCACCAAGAGCCGATGCCGGTAGCACTGCCGTCTGAGGCCAATCAACAGTGCGATCGCCGGTTCATATCCCACTGCAAGGGCATGGACGTCTGTCCTTTCTTTCAACTGTTGTCCTACAATGGAAAATTACTTCGTATTCAAATGTTACCGGTTACACCGTCTCACGTGTTACATGTCTTTCTACAAAACTCATCAAAGGTCGTTCGCTTTAGGATCGTTACATATTATACCTTTTAAAAAAAGTTTAGACAAATATGGTCATCATCAGGTGTTTAAAATTATAGCTGAAAAAACTGCTGTGCCTGTGATCATGGCTTTCGCTGTTAATTTTGTAATGTATGTCCCCTCCAAGCGCATGCGTATCTGTAACATGTATAAATATCTCCTATTTGAACTTATGTATACAAGGTGTGTTAATGCGTCATATGGTTACTTGTTTGTGTACTTACTTCAAGTGACGGGATGTTCTTCCTGTTGTGATGTGTTCTGTGTCTGCTTCACGAATGCTTGCTGAGCTGAATTGAGTCCATATTTCATTATGTGTATGTGTGACTATCTGGTGTTTGCAATTCTTGTAATACTTCAAATGTCAATTCATGTGCAATACGTTTGTACTCATTTTATACGATACTTTCTAGTGAGCTTAGATATTTTCTTTTTTTCTCTTATTTTTACGACTGTCGTTCTGTCATACTTCCATATGCGTGTCCTGTAGTTAATATATGTGACGTGCTACATGACGTCCCTCGTTGCGCAACGGCTGCAATGGGAACGCATACTTCAGCGCCAACGAATACACGCGATTGTTGAGTTCCCAGAGCGACCAACTGAACGCCAAGAGACCGTTGGTACGTTAATACATAGAACACGTGAACTCGAACCCTGGGAGCACCTGCCGCACCCTTCCTGAGGACAACAGTAGCTCTTCATAACACAACAATGAGCACGCGACAAACTGGCGTCCATGCTGAAGACAATGTCGCTTTCCTGTGGTCTCCACACACCACAGAGTTGACGCTGCACCAAGTTGCTTTCACCTTTTCAACAAAAGACGACGCAGATATGAAACATCCCCCCCCCAAAAAAAAGTCCGTGTCCTGTAGTCCGCAAGCGATACCGACCGAGCGACCGCCTATTATCGGCGAAGTTAGTGCCAACTTTACCGGATATATGGTGTCGCGTGGTCAGCGCAACGAATCCCCACCTCCGTTAATCTCGGTTTTCTAGACCGGAGCCGCTGTTTCCTTGAAATATCCCCTCAGTTATCCTCACGAGGCTGAGTGGACCCGTTCCAGACCCACTACTTCTCAGAAAATCTGGTAGCGCCGGGGCCAACAACCTTACCGCCATCTTTGAGCCGACTGTCTAGATAATGTGGGACCCTCAACGTCTCACAACCCTATGGGTCATCACGGCCTGTTAGAGGAATAGCGTTTTTTTTTTACTTATTTCATACTCGTACAAGTAGCAAAACGTATACATCTTGGACCAAATATAATATGTAAATGTAACATACAACGAAGTGACTAAACAAATATCTTTTTCAGATCAATTTGTGTACTCATCTTTTTTGGCGCCCTTATTCGTACTACATGTCCCGCCTATCTCATCATCCACGATCTAATAGCCGTAATAATACTTGGAGAAGAGTACAAGTTATGAAGCTCCTCATTACGGAGTTNTTAAGTTGGTTAGTATGGACACCACACAGCGACGATGGCACGATTCATAAATGTGGAGCGGCTGGTATGAGGGGGAAACCATAGTACTACAGAAAACCCACCCCAGTGCTACTTTGTCCGCCACAAATCCCACATGCTGTGGGATCGAACTCGGGGCGCCGCGGTATGAAGCCTGAGCTATGGCACGACCCCTGTATAAAGTTACAGAGTAAACACGATGTTTACAAATTATGGTATTCAAGTTTTAAGTAGCGAGAACAAACAAAGAATTGTCCTATGTTTGACAGAGTGGGCTTCAAAGCGGAAAAGCCCACTTCGCTTTCTTACGACAAACTTGTCTCGTTTAAAAACTATTAACATGATTGATGGGTTATATCCACCACCGCGTCACTTCTGAAAGCCCATGTAAGGAGGGGCTTCATAATTTGTACTCTTCACCAATTAGATTGCTATCAGACTAGTGACAGCGGGATGGGCGCGCTGGGTCCTCTCTGTGGCAAAACGCACACAAAAAGAATTTTCACTTCTCCATGTACCCGTGTCTAGGGTCTACCCAACCAATGAGTACCTGAGGCTCTTTCCTCAGAGGTAAAGCGGCAAGGGCGTGAAGCTGACCACTCACCTCCAACTAGTGCCGAGGTCAAGAAAACATGAGCCTATACATCCACTCCCCCATACGCCTTCATGGCGTCATGCTTTAATTAGTTAAGTTTAGCTTTTTATACAAACTTTTATATGGACACCTGCAGCAACTAGACCTATGGGAACACACAGCCGTTGATGGGAGCGTGTTTGGGTGTGGCCTGCATTCACGTGAATCGTAACGGGCTCTTGAAAACAGGGCAATGACTCTTCGGCTTCCAGAAAAGGGGAATAATTTTTGGACCTGCTAAACGGCTGTTAGCTTCTTTCCATGAGGTCAGTAATCAATGAGCACAAGCTGGGCTGTCAGAAATGGCGACTTGAGGGCCTCTCGACACGTAGTGGCTCAAGTACCCAGAACTGGGCCTGTCGGTATAGCTGCGGCTGATGTCCGGATGTACCGGGTGAGTCCACATTCTTTGTAACAGTTTATGAAGAAGCTCTGCATTTACGAATTATTCTCAAAATTACCTCTATTACGTCCCTCAGCAGAATTAACCTCTTGAACTCTGCAACAGACCCCCAGCGATTTCTGTGTAGAGAACTATTTTAAACACTACCTGAATTCATTTCAAAATTCAATGGTCATTCAAATTTGATACTGCGGGTACATAAAAA